AAACTGGAACATGTTGGTGGTATATCTATTTCTTTGTTCCAACAGAACAGGTTAATTTGAATGAATTCGATTAAAGGGTTAAACAGAAAAAAAAAAGTAGAGTGATTCTAACTGTTAAGTATGAAGCAAATAGCAAATATCTAATCCTATGCAATCCTATGCTAGTCAAATGACTAATCCTATGCAGCGCCACTGACTCCTATTTTTGTCATTGCAGGGAAACTGAACACATGACTAGCAGAGTTAAAACATGTATGGTTAAGTCTTTTAGTTTCTCAATTACTAATAGATGTTCATAGTCGTAATATTTTCTTTAAAATTTTATATAATGCACATTTTTCTGGTTAGTCTTAAAAAAAGGAAAAAAGTTAAAAAAAAGAAAAAAAAAAGATTCAGTATTGAAATGGACATTTTCTGTTGAGGAAAGCATTTCTGCTGCCAAGTTCTTTTCTCAACCATTGTATTTTAAAGGGAACAGCAGTCAGTTTCAGGAATTTTTACCTAGGGAACAAAGAGAGAAATAGTTCCAAATGTTTCCATCTTTTATATACTGATTGGAGCTAAAAATTCCTTTTGTGATACACGACATTTCAGTATGACAAGTGAAAGCTCCAGCCTATGCAGTCAACACTGTCGAACACTGAATCTTTTGAAACCTGTTGCTTGGAGCTTCAATAATCTTTTTCCTTTACAGGGTGATGATACACTTGGTCCTTTATTGATATACTTCTGTACCTTTCTGTTTGATAGGCGGCTTAAAGAGAACTTGTTTTCAAATTGTATGTAAGTCATCTTCCCTCTAAGAATTCTACTGAAGAAATTCTGTGCACCCGAGGGTAAAAAATCAGATGATACATGAATAAAAGTATGTGGGTGCCTTTGGCATTTTTCAGAAGTGCTTTAAAAATTCTCATTGCTCTTTGCACTTCCTTTGCTCTGAGGAAAGATGATCATGTGTTTTAGATCAAAGCTTCAAAAAAGGTTACAAAAGTCTCAGCAGATACCTGATCTCTGATCAGCTTAATCAAAGGGTGAATTACAGAGCAAGTCATTTCCATTTCTCCAGTCATTTTGAAAYGTGCAGATCAGAACTTTCTTACAGCAACTATTTTAAAATTATCTTTAAGAGTATACTATGATCTATAAGAGGCCATTTTCATTACTGTTACACTCACAGGGTATACTCTCATCTATCATATGGTGTTGAAGGGATGCTCCGTTAATAAACTTCCTAAATTTTCAGCACTTCTTCTGCTCTACAGTTGATCATTCTGGTATTAGTTTTATTTTGGAGTATTTTGTGAAATGCAGCCGTTGTGCACAGAAGCATCTGCATTTCATCATTTTTTTTTTTTTCCGGACAAAATCTGTGTAGATAAAAGAGTTAGTACCAGCTTTTTCCTGAATGCAAATGTTGTTAAAGTGTTATTATTTAGCATTAAATCCTTCTACTCTAAACAGGAAGTTCAATCAAGAATCATTTTATTTTAGACTGTAAGAAAACTTCAGTTCTTGGCTCCAGAACTCTATAGGTATCCAGCAAGACCGAAAGAGATGTCCTGTGCACTTCCTCCTCCATTCTGTTTTCATCTTCTGTTTCTGCAAATCCTCAAATGAAGAAGACTGGCTTCTCCTTACCTTTATGTGGTGAATTTTCTGTTACTGAGGTCTTTGCCTTGATCTCCTCTCATTATAGAAGAGATGGATATCTAATTCAATTGTTTTATACTATAGGAAGAGAAGAAATTAGTCTTTTCACATTTGTTACCTAACACCCTCAAGTGTCTTTCATTACCAAAATGTCTGACTATATTATTTTCTCTGTTCAACAAAATACATTATCAGAAAAGGAAATTATTTTACTGATCTGTTTTCTAAGATTTTTTCACCCTTCATCTTTCACAACTAACATAATTTTTATAACAAGTGTCTTCATACAGTGGAATATATCTCCAATTTTCAGCGGCAATTTCATTTTGTTGGCCTCATAACATATGTATTTTCTTTTGAGTTATAACATTAGAGCATATGATATCTCTATTCTTATTCTTTACAGGTCATCTGAAAGTCAGAGCTCATGTTATCTGTCTTTGCAACTGCAGTTATCAGGATTGAAGCTGTATCCTGCATGTGTGCTGCAGGCACTTGCCCTCACTTCTTACAGACAGATTCCTCAGAAAACCTTTTCTGATGTTATTATTTTTCCCAACACATGTTCTATTATTGTCAGTGAAGTGAAATTCTCTAAAGATTTTTTTTTTTTAAGTGAGAAAATGATGCATAAGACTTTATAGTAAACAAGCTAGTCAAGGCATGTGCTCTGCATTGGTACAGAAGTTTCTGCTCATGCTATAAAGTCAAATGCCTTACATGCTGGTTAGTGCTTTTTAATGTTTTCAGTATGTTTAGGGCAATCTTTCCCTTATCCTGGGAATTTCAGCCAGGTTGCTCTGTTTTGTTTCTGCTGCAGAATGCCATAAAAATATTTACATTTTAAGCCTGTCCTGTGTCCTTCAGGAACTGTTGGAGCTGTTTGTTCTCGGATGAGTTCCAAGAATATAAGCTTGATTTTGCAGATAGGTGCTCATTTCTTACAGCTTTTCTAATTCCCCACAGGAGACCTTATACAAAAGAAAATCTAAATCTAGGAACATTTTTCTTTTTGTTTTGTCAGGTTGMTTCCCGGACATGATAAAGTAAAGTATGTGTCTTAAAGCTGATTTTATTTTTCTGATGCCTGTCATATGCTCACTAGTATATCACATCCCCACATATGTTAAGAATTTTCCTGACTTCACATGTTAGTAAATGGGTGTAAGAAGGGCTGTTTGGGACATGCCGCAGACATTTCACACAGTGGCCTTCCCTTCTGATTTCCTGGCTTCTTTTCTGCAGGCCATAATTTATTGCTGACCCAGCGATTTCCTCCCAGCTTTCCATCAGGGACCACTCTAGGAAGAATTTATGGTCRTCTCTCCTGTTTATCGGACACAAGTCTTTTGCTGCAGTGTCCCTCCAGGGGGCTATGAAGACAAGAGGTAGTTTTACCTTATTTTTGAATGATTTCACTAATAAAAGGTTTATATTATCCTTCTGAAATGGCTGTCACTGGAGATAGGTTGGAGACATCATCTGTCACTAGCGCAGTAAGGGCTATCATTCATTTCTCAAAGTTCTTTTCTTTGCCACAGTAATTGTGTTATGTATATTTTTCTTGGCATATACGATATCTTTGCAGATGAGAAGCAGGTGTCAAAATGAAGATCTCAGTCAATCTGAAAATAAAAGTAGAGCCAAAAGCATTTTCTGTTCTAGTATGATAGTCAAGTCTGTAGCTTTGTAGCTAATCTAAATATCCTGCTACGCTGGTGACCACATTTTTCAGTTGTCTGTCTCGTTTGATTTGATATGTCATTTGAGCAAATACTGGTCTATTTATGATGAGTTGATAAAGAGCTCACTCTCATACTTGCTTGATGCCATTTCCCAATGTTTGTGAAGATTTTACTACTAATACTTCATCTGTTCTATTTTGTTTTGCCAAAATCTGAACCTCTGTTGTGCTACATAATGCATTTAGTATGTAATGCAATCTGTACATTCTTATATCCATCACTAAAATAATAATTATTCACATGTCCGATTGTGGTTTTCAATTCTTTTATCACAAAGTCAATGTGCATTTGCATTAGTTTCTCAGAGACATATTTGTCTTCAAAAAGCCCTGTTTCATGAAGGGAGAGTGTACTTTTCCTGTACATATAGGTTACTACATATAATACAGATTATTATTCATATTTTTAAAATTCAATTCCAGAGATTTTATATGAGAAAAGACCATCAMACTGCTGTTTCATGTTCTTTCTATAGGTTCTTTCATGAAACTATAGTTAAATCTGTTCCCAGTGCTAGGCAGATATGAATGATTTATTGTTTTATTTTCCTGTACTTTTATTAGATTTAGTTGTTATATCTTTCAGCTGTTATTATTCAGATTATGCTTAAATTTATATATAATTATTTCAGGCAAATATTCATCATTTGCACATTTTACTTCTGGAAAAAAATGCATATTTTTTAAGAGATAAGATTTTATTTTTCATATATAGGGCTGATGGGATTTATTTAACTATGTTTACAACTGAAATTCTGTCCCTCAGCTCACTGCACCAACACTAAAAGAACTGGAATGTCTAGAAAATGGTAATTCWGATGTCTCACTCCTAGAGGTGCCTTCTTCACTCCACTACCAAGACAGTACAGGGTGGGTCAGTAAGATGTGTATGTGTATGGAGAAAAGTAAATAAAAAGGAGAATTATCATCCGTAATTCCTTGTATTTTTTTCCTTTCTTTTTGTTTACCTCCTTTGTCACCTTTTTTATACTCCAGAATTTCTCACCAAAAAATAAAAACTATATTTCTAGAGACGACTTCTGCATGCATCAGCAATGCCTTCTGATGCAGATTAAACAGACTTTTAACACTAGTCTAGTCTGGCATGACTAGTCATGCCATCAGTGTCTTTTGGGCACATGTAGCAAAACTGCAGCTCAAATGCAAATGCTAGTGGGGAATATCTATTCTTATTTCCTGGGAGGTAAGAGTTCATACACAAACATCTGTGCAAATGTCAGTCAGGACTTCTAGTTTGACATCTTTTTGTCTTTTTGATACATTTTTTCTTTTTTTTTCACAACAACTCACAGGGTATATATACTTCTTTATGGATCTTTGTGAAAATCTTCCTTAATTCCTCAAAAGCAAGAGTAAAAGGAGAGATTAGTACTATTTAATTTTGTTGCAGAATTCTACTTGTTGAAGCAGGCCATGGTCTGTATTTCTGCCAAAGGAGAAATCAATAAGTGATTCTTCTATTTTTGGCCTATTTGAAGAATCTAGATAACCATGGCCTGATAAATCTGCTTTTTATTTACAAAAAAAAAGCTTTAAAATACATATTTTTATTTATTATATTATTTTATATTTTATTATTTTATTTATTTTTTCAAATAAATTAGTTCAGATTTAAATCTTTTCTCAAGTTCAACATACATTTGCAATATTCTTTTCAGAGTTCTGGTATAAGCAGCATAAACTTTCTTGACATGTAAGATAGATGGAATTGAACAGAAAACCACACTCTTAAATATTTCTTCTTCTAATACGGTACATATATACAGTCAACAATGAGTATGAGACATGCCCAGGCTTTTAAAATGATTTTGAGTTTTTCTGGTCCTTGACTGTCAATATAATCACTGGAAAAATATAGAACTTTTCTTGATCTAGTTTAGATTTCTTATAGAGCTTCAGCTGTAAGTTTCAGTTCTTCACTGTCAATCCGTGCTGTGGAGATGAACATTTGATCAGGGGAAACTGTTCACTTTGTGCTTTAGCAGAGGACCATGTACCAGCTGAACACTGACCGTTACGCTGCAATCTGAGGCCTCAGGAAGAAAGTCAGAAGTGCCCAGTGTGTCTCCTTGGTGGACCTCTTCACTGGATGTCAGATATTAGGATCTCTCCTCCTGTGTTATCTGCATCTTTAGCTTCACAGAGAAAGGAAAATGTTTCAGTAATAGATTCACCCTTAGTCTGGAGGGGAGAAGTGATCTCTCTTCTATCATCTTTCCTAAAACCTGCATGCAGAAACTTATGACAACTTGAATCTCACCCATATACAACCTATTTATAGATGATCTGGAGAAGTCTAATAGCTGCTATGGAAGTCCTGTGCTGTTATGCTGTACTTAAGATACAAAGATTTGCTGCCCTACGATATCAATGTCTGACACTAGGTCAGATTAAATATCACTTTCTAGACATTTCCAGATCATTCAATACATRCGTAGTTAATCTTGACCAGGAAGGTTAGATATTAGGAGGAAGAAGGTACCCAAACATTAAGTCTGCTTTGAGCCATAAAAATCTCTAATAGAGGCAGAGGGTAACCCTCTCTTTTCTGCAGGAAACTAATTTGTTTCCACGGTTGCTGGAATAACTCCAGAGTAGTCCCTCTACAATCAAAGTGTGTAACTTCCACTCTGTTGCTTTTCACCAAGGACTCAGACAAATGTTTGTCTGGCTTCACTGGTACCTTCTAATGGCCTGGAACAGCTGAGGAATGAACAAATTCTTCTGTCTGACTGTATGAATCTGCATATGACTGCATATGTCTGACTGTATGAATCTGCTGTCTGACTGCAGTATCTTCACACCTAGCCACATCCCAATATTTAGGCATCAGATAAGGATGATAATTCTTAAAAATCTATTTAACAATTCCTACTCTTTATCTTGAATGGCTTATTCAGTCTCAAAAAGAGAAAGATTTTCATAAGAGATGATCAGAATGGAGATGCTAAGGGACTCATCTGACYAAACCCCACAAAGTCTGGAAGTAGATAAATCTGTCTGAGCCCATGACCCTAAATTCCATCACAGGTAGTGTAGAGCAAGAGGCACACCTGGGACAGAATTTAATTTGATCACAAATCCTTCTCAGATGATTCACATTGAAGAAATGGCTGCTTCTGTGGCCTATAAAGGAAGGCAAAGGGGACAAACTCAGATACAGAAATTTGCATAGTAGACATGTAAAATTAGACTGACAAATTTGTCCCAAGTACCTTGTGCCAATCAAGAAAAAGATAAATCCTTCTGTAGTGCCAAATTGTTCCAAAATAATGATCAGATCCTGCTTTTCTGTCAGAGAGTGTCAATGTACATACAAACAACACAACTTGAAGGAGTCCTAGGGTGGTGGGAAACTCACCCATGGATGGGTTTCCAYGTTTCTTTTTCAGTGGAGAAAAACTTTTACAGTTTTTCATTATATTYTACATATAGCTTCAGACCTCAAAATTAAAGGAGACTTGAAATGTTGAAGATTGCTTATTTCATTATACCCATATCTCTCCAATGGTTTTGTAAATACTCAGGAAATGGAGACCATTTGCAYTTTGAAGTCTCCACTTTGAAGTCTGCTTGCCTGCCCTACAATTAATGTGAACTTCTGGCATCCTCAATGTCTTCTCTCATTTCTGAGTAAGTACAGTCATTAGCTTTTTGAGTGGTTTCATGCTTTATAGAAAGTAGGATATGACTTTTTTTCAGGTGTGTCTCATCTTCAGTCTTATTGTTGTACAAAAATATTTTTGATGTTAGGTCATTCTGGGAATTAAATAATTAAATTTCCTTTTTTTTTTTTTTTTTTTTTTCTTTTTTTCTTTCTATGAGATGCTAGTTCATTATTAGAACAGAGCTACCTCATTTTTCTCTGGCAGATTCATTTTTTTCATTCTGCAGATAAGAGTAACTCTGATACCGCTCTTCTTTCTGTACCAGAATCCGTCCTCAATTAAAGGATAATCTTTGCAAGAAAGACCAAGTTCTTTTGTTGCACTACAAGCAGGTGTTCTACATTGCTTTCAGTTGGGTATGAAATTAATAGAAAGCTATTTTTTATTCCCTTAGTCCTTTTGAAAAAATCTGGGTAGTCACAGTTTTATATTATCTTCTTCTGGAAACACAATTATCTGCTAAAATTGGATTTAGAGAGACAAGTGTCACAGTCTATGTGCACGTGGAATTGCTTTTGATAATCCTGTTCTTGTTCAGAAAGGGCAATAATATTGTCAATATCTTTCCTGGCACTTGCACCCTCACTGAAGATAAAACACAAGTAGCAGAAGAACACTTGGTGACATTTTTCTGATGGAAGGCAGAAGTTCATTTTAGAATTTTTATTGAAGTAGTCATGCAGACTGGAATATTAATGTAATAATGAAACAAATCTGAGTAAGGCTGAATGTTGATGAGTGAAGTGTATATCATGGTGCTTCTATCATTAGGCCTCAGAAAATGAATATAAATATTTGTCACCTACATTTTTTCTCTGGAGTCTTTCTAGGACCTCAAAGTCCTCCATAAGTCCCGCCACACCCTTTGTAAGTATGATTTACATTGACCTCATTCCATAGCAATTGAAATCACCAGTCTTGCATCACAACTGAACTGTCGGAAGGTTGTATGTGACGGTCAAATCTATTGTCCTCAGCTTTTGCCATTTTCCTTGTGTTTCAGAGGGATCCATTTTTGTTAAATTATTATCTGTATTGTTATTAAACTTCTCCTAGTCTCAATCAAATATTGGACTATTACCTATTACAATTTTGCTCTCTGAAGATAATTTATATCTGCTGTAGTTTTTCCTTCTCATATCTCTATGAACTGCAATCTTTTTTTCTCTTCTTGATAAAGAGCCTTAGAAGAAATTTCATAGCACTCTTTCCCCAGAACCTCAGTGACTACAAACTGAAACAATCCCTATCAAATCCAGCTATCACTTATAATAATACATTGTCTTTACAGTGTTTTCCATCATTAGATTAGATTCATTTCTTAAAAGGGACTTGCCGGTACACAGAAACTTGGTTTGTGTTTGGTCTTAGTATTTGATATAGCTAATGTGGCTCAGAATAGACTGAACAATCTGTTTCACCATTACTCAGAGCAATGTTCCCCACCTCTGATATAAAACATATGGCCTTTTTAATGTACTGGGTGAGATTTCAGTCCACTGGGGAACACAGGTATCTGTCCTACATGTCCAACATTTTCCTGTTAAAATGATCTTCTGATTGTTTTCATACCCTACCAGGAATAATTTATATATTGAAGTTCCTCATTTTCACTAGGAATTCACAGGAAAGATTGTGATACTTTTTAATAAACAGCAAATTGTATATCATTTTCTACATTGATTTTTGGAAACATGAAATAAATAAGCCAACATTGATGTGAGAAATCTCTAGACTTTCTAGAATGATCCATGGGGTCACAGGGTCACAATGTCTACCTCTTAAGTTATGATTAACTATTGCTGTTGAAGGTGGATTTGAAGGTACTCTGTCATAGACTCAATATCACTTGGACTCATTTCTCAAAGTCCCATTGCTCTTCAGAAAGGAAAATTACTGTTGTCAAAATCTCTCTTGCAATTTAAACTATCATTATAAGTGAAATGCGGGTGTCAAAGACAATTTCTTTTTTCAGGCAGGAGGTTCAGTCAAGCATTTCTATAGAAAAAGAACCAATCAATCAGCATTGCTGAATCGCCTGACATTCTGGGTAATGTTGGCAACGCATGTGATTTTTTCTTTACCCTGCATGTTYACATCTCTGCATTTTCCTGGTAGCAACTAAATTCTCATTTTTGTTTCTTTAGTTTCTTTAGAAATATCTCCAGGCTGAATGATGAGTCATAGACCTTTTCTCTAGGCATTTTATTAGTCTCCTCTATGGAGCAGGCCATTACCTTTGTCACACAGCTTGCACGAGATTGCCTATTTCCTGATCATTAGAGAATACCTCAGCCCATGAAATTTTCTTTTCATTCCTAAACTATTTTTAAAGCATGCAAAAATGCAAGCACATTTTGTTCTGGGGAGATACCCTTCCTCCCTTCCTTATTAATTCTCTTTCTCGTCCCACAATGAGAAGTGTACCAAGAAATGGTGAACCACTTTTATGAATTATCTAAGAAAAATGATGAGATCCTCATTTACATAATTAAAGCAGATATTTTATCATGATCCAATTTATTAACAGTCAGTCATGAAATAATTTCATAGTTCTGTTTCGTGCCCTAAACCTCTTGTAATTTTTGGATATGCAGAGAATGATAAATTTCATCTAGGGTACTGCAGAAATCCATTTTGATTGGAGACACAGAATATTTAATACTTTTTTCTTGGTATTTTTTTTGCCTCTCTGGAAGGAGGAAGCAAAAATATCTTAATTACTTACAACTTCCCCATTCTAGGTAAAACTTTTTTTTTTTTTTTTTTTTTTTTAACATTTTATCTTTGACAAAGCAATAAAGATTATCTACACTCCTGGCGCTCATCTGAATGCACATTGCCTCGGAGAAAAGTGTGATAATTTTCACACACCCAGAAGCTCTTCACATGGTGATTGCTGCAAGGCTGTTGTGGACTTTTCAGCTTCCTTTCAGCCTCCTAGGGACAGACACAGCCATCCACAGACTCTAGAGGAAGGGAATCATGCTCTCTTACCAATGTCATGCTCTTTTCAGTTGTCCTCTCCACTTTCCTAGAGTTTGAATAGGATAAAGCATATTTTCTATTTTTTTTGTTTTCTTCTTCAAGATAGGAGTGAGAAGTTAACTCCACTCATTCCTTCAAGTATGGGTAGTCTTCTCTAGTGTTCTTTCTCTACAAACACACAACAATGAAGAGACCGTGATGGAAAAGATGTCATTTTCATTATCTACTTAATATTATTTAAGGATGTTTTCTTCTTCCTGAATTACATCATATTTGCCCGGAATTAGAAGAATACTTATATAGAAAAATCCYTCATTAGGGGTTTTTAGTACTCTGAAGCCATATAATTTAAGACTATGGAATGGGAAGATTGAAAAAAAATGAATAATACTCTTTTTTCCATTTACTTGAAATATCCCAAAGCCCTAGTTAGGATTTCCATCAGATATTCTACTATGTGTTTTAATATACATGCTTATATAGGGATTTATTTTTTCAGTAACTGAACTCTTGAGCAGGCACATACTAACTCATTCCTAATCATCTCAGTATAATGATTATGATTTTATAAAGAAATGTGATGCCTGAAATGCTTAATTTTTATGTTGAAAAATTACTCCTATGCCTAAATTGGTTATATAAGCCTCATGTTAATCACTTGGTCTCTGACTGCCATTCCTGTGATACCTGAGAGCCAGATCAGCATCCAGATCACCTTAAGTCATCTTAAATGGCACTACATGTCTATAGTTAGGTCTCTGAACAATTTCTGAATAATTCCATAGATGACTAGACTTAGATACATACTACTAATTAAGGAGGTAACAAACTCAGTAAGGTCTTCCTCAGAATAATGAATGTCACTGACTTCCAATTAAATCATTTTTTACCAYATCATTAGCATTACCATCTTTCCTTAATTTATATGTTGCAGGGCGTTATACTTATCACATTGTGTATAATTATTCCTTGTCCTTTATTCTTAATAAATATTATATTTATTAACTTTATGGTTTTTTTACCATTAAAATTCAGACATCTATGTTGGCTGCATCTTCCATGCTCAGTCTTCTGCATGTTTTACATTTATTCTCATTCAATGCGGAARACACTGCTGATATGTTAAGAAATATGAGTCCACCAGACTGCAGGGCAGAGATGCTCCATACAGCTGGCAGCTTCAGAGACTACTCCTCAGCTCCTCCAGAGACTGGACTTCATTAGTTTTGCCCAGGCACAAAGTTTGACTAATC